ACACAGGTTAGAAACCTGCGTGAGCGGTGGGACTTTGCTGTCTGTGTCTCCCAGCAGATGTCCGGGTAGTTTAGGTCCCCCATGACTACCACCTCTCTAGTTTTTATGGTCTCCGAGAGCTCCCTCAGGAGCCCCAAATCTAGCTCTTCCCCTTGATGTGGGGGTCTGTAGCAGACCCCTACCTCCAAATCCCTTTCTCCTTGCCCCCCATGTAGCCTAACCCACAATCCTTCTACTTCCTCATCCTTCGATTCCGTCCTGATGAGGGTCGATGTATATTGCTCACTGACATAGAGCGCAAGCCCTGCCCCTTTTTTCCCCACCCTGTCCTTTCTGTACAATCTATAACCCTCAATATGTACCGCCCAGTCGTGGGATGAATCCCACCAGGTTTCTGTTAGCCCTACTAAGTCATAGGTGTTTTGTGCAAGCAGGAGCGCTAGTTCATCCTGCTTGTTTCCCATGCTCCTTTTGGTTTGTATTCCTTGTCTAAGCCATCCCTCTCCAAGCATTAAAGCCTTATAGCAATCCTTACTGTACATGTTTGAGAGGGATCGTGCAAGACTTTTTGCTCCCTTTGTGCAGCTGACTAAGGGAGGCTACCTTTTATGCTTCAGACTAAAGGAGGCACACCAAAATCTCATGGTGGGTTAAGCACTCTTAAGGTCTACAAGGCCTGTGTACTCCAGAGACCACAGAGCTTGAACAAAGACCAGACCCCAGGTGGCGGCAGTGGTTATGCCAGGCTGGTGGGTGTGCTCCAGGAAGGGGATTGGCCAGAAGTTGGCACATGTGGGGAGCCATCCAAAGCTTGGTTTGGTTGGGCACAGTGAGGTGAGTGGCTTGGTGACAGAGCACCCCCTACTAGCCTGCCACAAGCTCTTTGCCGAGGAACAGCCTCCTAGGCTTTTCCGGGGCAGAGGTTTACATGAGTCTCTGCACAGACCAGTACCCCTTATCAGAAAAGAACAGCCATCAGTTTCACAAGACAGCTCACTTTGCAGTTTGGGGACAGAAGGGAGGGAATGAACCCCTGAAAAATCTAAGAATGAGAACAAATTTAAAAACTAAAATTAAATGAAAACAGTCATTTCAAAAAGAGGGCACAAAATGAAGTGCATTTGGTTGCATTTTCCCACCCCCCAAAAATCAAAGCAATTTTCCCAAACTGATTTTTGCCTGCAAGATCTTTTCATTTCAATTAAATCATATTTTCTAGAGGGAAAATACTTGGGTTGGATGGTGTAGCTGAGGCTGCTCTTCTGCTAGGGATGAAGGGGACAAGAGAGTCTCTTTTCCTTAATGGGACAGATTGAACCAATCACCACAGGGATTCCACAATGGATTCACAAAGAAAGGAAACACTTTGCCCTGAGTTTGGCCTATCCCAGGTTCTCTGGAAAAACCCATCACACATCCACACTGAGAGAAGCCAGACTATTTCAGTGAAAGCTGAAATCAGCACCTATTGAACTTACCCTTGTAAAAAAGAGCAAACAAATAGATGGATATGCAGAAAGGGGAATATACCAGTTTCCAAGGGTTGGAGTAGATGTCTTTCTAACAGATGTCTGAGGCCAGTCATCTTTCTAACAGAGACATATAAGCTCCAAAGTTGTCTGCAAGTTGTCAGACTCAAAGCAGGGATCTCTGCATGAGGTTCTCCAGTCTGGGTTTCATATGTCAGGCTAACTGTAAAAAAAAAACAAAAAACAAAAAAACTCCCTCCTGGCCTTCAAGTCTGGGAACACGCTCACCTCATTTCCTTGGCGAAGAATGTATCTTTTATCTGTCACTGGCTTTGCCTTTAGCAACTCTTCATAACTTTTGGTTTCAGCATTATAACCATATACGGCCTGGAGCTTTCGAATGGCTTCCTTTCCCTCGTCGTCGTCATCATCATCATCATCACTGTCATCAGCATCATCCCCACATTTCTGTGCAAGCTTCACCAGCTTCTCCATTTCCACCCTCCATTCCTGCCAGAGCAGATCAGGGTGAACAGACTGTTATTCCCCTTGAGTGTCTGGACCTAGATACAATTGTCTCACAATCATTCAGCCATTACAACTGGGTTTGATTAGGGTTATATGTATGGTGGCAGCAAGTTTAGTTTAGGGGCGTCTAGGGTTTGAGTGGGAGGGATTGGTATCTAATACTTTAATGAGGTTCAAGTCAAAATAGTTAAAGAATTACTGTAATGCTGAGCAGAGGGGTGATATCAGTCAGGGGAAGCATCAGGGGATGAACAGAAACTGGATGCTCAGAAGAATGGAAGCTGGCAGCTGGTCACCTCTGGAAGGAGCCCGCCAGTGATGCACTTCTGAGGCCCCAATATTTAAAGTGAAAAACAGGTACAAACCCTGGGCATCAGAGGAGAAGGAGCCGCATCCACTAGGAGACTAGATGAAGCCATGCACTACAAAGACTGGGAGGATCAAGGCTGTTACGTCTCAGCTGTGTGTTCTTGGGCAACCCTGGCACAGGATGCGGTCTGTCTGACTCACAAGGACTCACCCCCCCTCCCTCCCCTCCTCTACATAAATGAAACTGATTAAGATGCAGAGAGAGACACACCTAAGACCCTCCAGATAAGGGTGACAAGAGTGAAACAACTGCCCTAGGTCTCATTTGCATCCGAGATGGAACCAGATGACCATTCATTTACATGAGAGATGGAGAACAGAAAGCCTGAAGCAGAGACTGCAGTGAAATCTGGGACCAGAGAAGCAGGGGAGCACTGCATGATGGGGAATTTGTGCTCCAAATGCTAATCAACCCATGTTCACACACACCCAGCTCAGCATTTATCAGACCAGTTCTAATCTGGATTTACTAAGGACTTTTTCCCCCCCCAGACACACACACACCTCTAAGTTCAATAGGCATCTCGGGCCGTACATTCCCCGGTCCCACTATGGGAGGCCTATTTAAACTTAATTGACTAAAACTCGGTTGCCGGGTTAGGGAATGCTGAGGCAAGAGACCGAGTCAGAGGGGATATGGGCAACATTTGAACAATGGTTAAGGGTTCATCACA